ATGTTGGAAAATAATATCAAACAGAATGGTGCCCATTTCTGCTTCTGTTGAGTGAATAAAGGATAGATGAGTTTTCTTTGATGCTTCCTCCAAATAAAAATTTTACAATGCAAAAATACCAGGGAAGTAGATTTGATATTCATGCCCCTATTACTATTATTGTTCTTAGTACTGTTTAATTAAGTACTGTTTTTTTATTTTATTTTCTTTTTTTTTCAAAGTTTTATTGATAAACAGATAGCAATAAGACAGTTTCAAATCCAATCAGAAGTACAGTTTCAACAAATAATACACTGCATATATCCTTCTTAGTGGTTAATTGCTGTACAAGAAGTGGACTTGTGATCCTATTTACAAACACCATTAGAACAAATCATTCTATTCATTAAGAGAATGCAACTATATATCTATCCTAACCACTTGGAATACACAAATACAAAATGGACATTCATCGGTATACCCCATTTTTTCTAAGTTCCGTTATTGAATATTATAGGTGTGTAAACTCAGCAAAATATTCTAAAAGAGTCCAGTAGCCCATAATAGCATTGGGTCTTCTGTTTAACTGGCAATGTCAGAAATTATTGACCTGAGTTCCCCACAGCTCAACATAACAGCATGGCTTTATTTCCTATATTTCGTCTTCATACTTTTCTACTGGATGGTTAAGACAAAGGTAAAGCAGGACCTATGCAACAAGAGTTGTAGCTTTTTGGTCTGAGAAGGTCAGTGAAATGCCCTCAGGATTTATCCTGAGATCCTGTACCTCAGATTGTAGAACCTTTGTCATGGCAGCCATGTGGATGAGTCACAGCCATTGCTTGGCCAATGTGCTCTCTGTGAAAGCCTGAGAGAGTGTCTTAAGTACTGTTTTAATTGTCTTTTTCATTATGCTTTTATTTTTTTAGCGGAACCGGGGATTGAACTCAGGCCCTTGCGCTTGCCAGGGAAGCGCTTATTCCACTGAGCCATCTCCCCGGTCCCATTGTACCTATTTTTATTGCTTGATCATTTGCAACTCTAATTTTTATAATTTTTTTATTAGTACACATTGGCAGTCCATAATGTTTGCAAAGCCTGTGTGTGGTTAGGGTTGGTACATATCCCTAACATGTATCAATTCTTATTTTCATCCTCTTTCTTTCTCCATCTTCAGATCCCCTATCTTCCTACTTCCTACTGTCCATCCTCCACGGTGCTCTTTATATATATTCTGGATTTCTCAGGAAAGAGAAGAAAGCAATAGGTAAGTGTGTGTATGTGTGTGATTTATTTCACTTAACATTATGGTCTCAGGGTGCATCCATTTTCCTGCAAATGACTAAGTTTCTTTTTTATGGCACAGTAGTGCTCCATTGTGTGTAAATACTACATTCATTTTCTACTTTTTTAATGTACACATATGAGTGAATCATCTGCCTGATTGAATTATCGGCTTAGGGTATTTTTCCTTGACCTGCATGGTTACTTCCTTGCTTTGAGTGGGTCTAACTATACTATCAAGCTAACTCTGTATTATTTGTATGTAATTAACTCCTTCTCCTTTCCATTTACCATGGATAATCAAGAATCCATGGCATTATATATATTTAAATGTCAGAGACTGCAAAGCTGTCTTGCCTATTATAGTGAAATCTTCATTAAAGGCTATCATGTATTCAAAGTAATGTGTAATTCAAAGCAGCTGCCCATCCCATTCCTCTTCTCCAGATGTACAATTGTCCTTTAAATAAAAACACAAGATAATTCAAGTACACTTTTGTTTGAACTGCCAGACCTTCCAAGGTAACTATGCTTTAATAAAGTCATCATGGTCTCTCACTACCAAGCTCATCAAAGCTACACTTGCCTCACATCTCTGCCCTTGACAGAACAGAGCATAGTGGTGTGAAGCTCATGCAGTCCTCAACTACAGCTATGCCTCAGAACCTTGCATTTTCAAGTTGCACTTCAGAAACATGTCAGAATCACAATGTTTGCTTTTAAAGTTTTTTGTTCCTATTAAGAAAAATATCCTCTCTTCACTGAAGGAAAATATGTGTTTGTGGGGCTGTATTAGCTCAATATTATTCTCTTTTACTGATGAAATATGTGTGCTTTTGTAAAAGTGATGCACACCCACTACTATGTAATTTTTGTAGCTGTACAGCAGAAATAGTTATGGTTCTACAAAGAACATATGTGTTTTAATTGTTTTATGAAGAGGTTTCATTTAGGATTAAGGAAAATAAGATTAAGTGACTATGGGAATAATGAGAACACAATGAACACACATTAGCCATCTAAAGGATCAAGACAGAAGAAACCTCCATATAAAACACCCCTTTATCCCACAGTAGTCAAGGACAAATTTAAATCAGGATAAAATAAAAGCAAATTTCTTGTCCCCTGTCTTCCCTCAAGAGGGTGTGTTTTAAACAGGCTGAACTTCTCTGCTGTCAGTAATTCTATCTTTATGTAAATTCTTACGCATCACAAAAAAGCTTATAAGCACTCCAGACTTATGGTTTTGGCACTCCAGCTGCCTTGAGTGGAGGGAGGAGAAAAGTGTATTTAGGATGGATGCCACCCACCGTCAAGTAATGGTTTAAGTAGAAAGTAATCAGAGGGAGACCACAGCAGCTACATTTCAACCAAAGATATTCTAGGTTTAGAACAATAAATAATTTTAATCAGGTACATTCCAAAGATCAAGTAGGCCTCTATAGAAGGCTATAACTCAGCTTGAATAAGCACTCAGGAAGTCTGCCTGGTCAGCAGCAGCTGCTTAGATACAGTACACCATCCCATCTGCCACTCAGTGTGTAGCATGTTTGGTACAGAGAAGTACCATTCCCAGGGAAACTTAATCAGTGGGAACTAGACAACGTATTTAGTTTATTAATGCCGACAGCATCTTTCACCTATACCAGAACACAGGTCATAAGGTGAAGGGGTCTTATGGAAATGCCAATATGGATAAAGTAAGAGGGACACTCATGAACACCTTAGCACCTTGATGGAGTCCAGCCTTATTCCAGCCCAAAGTGCCTCCTAATAAAGTCTTCAGTGGACTGGTAACTAAACACTTTTGGGAGGGGGCCAACATGAACCACCTCTCCAGGAGTCTTCAATGAGGTAACGCGACACTTGAGCCTCCACAAAAACTAACGTGTACATTTGATGAATAAGTCATTAAGACAGGCTTTAGGATGCTAAAGGGATTACTTTTCTTATCAGGGCCCACAGCCTTGTGCATATGCTTCAAGCTGCAGTGCACCATTGCAAGCAAATGTCTGGACTCTTTATCAGAGTTCATCATTTGATGGTACAAGATGGCAGTGAGGCTGATAAGAGACCCGGCAATTATAGGGCACAGAACGGGTGGAAACTACAAAAATAAGTGGTGCCTGAGTTGTTCACATCCTGATCCAGGGCTTCTCAGTCCAAGACAAAAGCTATACAATATATGTATATAAAAGAAACTCAAATTCCACATCCATTCCTGGGGATTCAGAGTTGAAATGAGACTTTGTTGATGCAAAAATGATGGTTTATCTCTTGAGTGCCTCAGCCCTTCCCTAGGATCATAACCAAGAAGGTGACAGCCAAGGATGAGTGTCTACCTACATGACTGCCAGCTGCCTGGCCTACCCTTCAACACCCACAGGGCCCCTTCCCTGAACTCTGACTCCCCCACCCCATCAAGTACGCAGATGGTTCGCTGGTGTGGCTGGCCGTCAGTCAAAGCCATGCATTAGACCAGGCAAGTTTCCCTTCCTTAGTGTCTGCTACCTCCCAGGTCAGCCTCCTGGTCCTAAGAAGAAAGTGGAATCTGGTTCAGTTCAGACTTGAGTGATAGCCTTCTGCACTAGAAAGCATAACTCACATTTATTGTAAATGTCATCATGCTTATGAACTCTAGAACATATTTACAGTGTCAACCTCAGGCTTCCTTCCCTTGATGGATGGTTTAGTTTTCTTTTTCTTTTTTTTCTTCCAGGAGTTCCACATACCAGAGTTTTGGGAAATTTCTTCCCAGTGAATCCGACAGCACTTACACGGCAGTGAGGCACAGCTTCCCTTCTTGAAAATGTTTATTTCTCAAGGGTTCATTGAAGACAAGTTTGAAAGTCACACTGCCCTTTATCATGAAGGTTGTGAAAGAAACTCCTGGTGCATCCTCAAAGCATATAAAGAGTCAGCGTCCAGGAAACTTTCCCGCAAACTGTTAGCACAGGCTGTTTAGCATAAATTACTCGCCTCACCACAGGGATGAGGAGAAACTATGAATTTCAGCTGCAGTGATCTGTGTTGAAAAATGGGATGAGCATCTAGATTTTCAGCGTTTGATACCTAGGGGTGTTTTATGATCCAAGGTTACTCCTTCCCTCAATCCTCACCTCCTCTCCGAGAGGATGGTAGAATCCCCATCTGCCCAGATGGCTTTTAAATAATCTAAACACCCAAGCACCTGGTTCCATTTGGATGTTTGCCTCCAGGGAACTCGCAAGTGTAAAGTGTCAAATATAGTTACATGGAGCGCGCGGGTGCAAGGTCTGGAGAAGCGACTACCTACAACGCGCGCGGGGCAGGGGAGTTCAAGTGTGCCTTTCTCTCTGGGGCCCTGGGGTTCGCATCGAATGGCTTCTGCTTCAGCCCAGCCTAAGGGGATTTCCGCAGCCCATTTAGAAATCAGCTGCCTAAGGTCCCGTCCAGGAGCAGCAGAGCTGACAGAGCACATTTGGGCCCAGGGTGTCGACCCTCCCTTCTGCAGCCTCCCTGGCTCCTGCTCCGCTCTCTTCTCTCCACTTTTCCCTTTCTTGCGACTCTAAAATTGGGCTCGCCCGGATCTCAGCGAGCGAACTGCAACTTGGGGTGTGGCGGGACAGGCGAGTGGACCGGGAAGGTCGGCGGGCAGCTAGCGCTGCGGCTCCGAGTGCTAGCGCGCAGGCTAGGGGCCCGGGTGTCCTGGGGAAAGCGGCCGCGCACAGAGGCACTGTGCCGCCCCGCGAACTCACCTGCTGCTTCCGCCCGAAAGCTGCGGACTGTGTTTCCTATGCGCGCGGGCTGGGGGCGCCGGGGACGCGAGCCCCGATCCCGGGAGCCTGGCATTCTGGGCGCAGAGACACCGTCGCCGCCGCTGTACCTGTCATAGAGCCGCAGCATGTGCTCCGACACCTGGTCGTGCGGCGGCAGCTCGGGGCCCGCGCCGCCACCTGCCGGGCGCTCTCGGGCTGCGACTCCGTAGAGCTCAGGGAGGCGCCGCTCCGGGGTCTCGCCCCGCGCCAGGCTCACGTAGAAGCAGCCGAGCCACAGCCCAAGCAGCCCGCGCGACCCAGCCATGGCGAGCTCCGGCGGCGCGGGACGCTGAGAGCGAGGGGCCGGCTGGGGATCCCGGGGTCCCGCTCCACCCCGCGGGCGGGCGGGCGAGCGGGCGAGCGGGCGCGGG